GAAATTATAGTTCGGTTGTTTTTATATTCAGCTACCAAAATTAGCATAATTCAAGGTTAATATCGCATTTTAAGTGGATTTAAAGATGCACAGTAGAGTAACAATAATAGTATCACTAACGTCGAAAGCACCACAAGTGCCACCTATTGATTGTCTTTGGCCAGTGAATCACACCCTGTTACATGCCACTGTGCCACAAACACGGTATTAAGAAACGATGCATGCTCTGAGGGGCTGCATAAGTATACAGTAGCTGCTCTATCTACCATGACCCATCAACACAGACAATAAAAAGTTACATATTTGTCAAAAATATTTGTATCTGTATTCTTATTTTCTAGAAAAGGCCCAGAGAACTCATGCATATCGACAACTAAGTGTGTAGTGCAACTGCGGTATAGCAAACTGTACCAGATGAAAGTGGATTATATGACTATGGAGAGTCTCCAGAATCAGCTTTATGAGCTGGTCCTAATGATGAAAGGTAAGTTTTTAATCTATTTCCTTCATGTTTTTCCTTCATGCTCATCTATTAACTACTGATGTGTTCTTAATCTCATAACTGAATTTATGAATTTGTACTGAATTATAATTTGTTTAAACATGTTTACACATCTCCACTCTGTAGCTGTATTTGTTTACTAAAGCTGTACTCATAGTTTTCATTCACATGCTAATTAGTTTTAAACTAATGTTTTAAGTATAATGAATGGCTTAAAACTCACATAATTCACTCACACATGTTTCATTTTTGCAGTTGTTTATTTGATAGTTTATTTCTAAATTCACTAGGAATAACAAAACCCAAGAATTACAGGTATAGAAAATGTTAATTGAATGTTTTGGGAGACCAATCTCCTGTAGAGGGAGAAGTGAACTTTCATACTGTCGGATTAGAAGTTTATTGGTTGCTGTGACAGTGGCATAATCTCACGGTGTTTGCTGCTGGCAGACCTGTGACCTTGGGAAACATTGTATTAGTGAAAAGAAGATGAAAAAATGATGTGATAGAGTGTGAAAGTGCAGTCCTTTCAAGTCTCAGCTCCCTTACTGTCAGGTATGGCCGGGCTTCAGTAGATAGGGATCCTATGTGAGGCGCTTCCAATGGCGAAGGTTAGGAGTTGAGTCGGTATGCGAAGGCGTGGTCGAGTACAAGAGCAGGGGTCCAAAATCCGGGAAGGAGTCAAGAGTTCGTAAGTACCAAATCGGGAGGCGAAGACATAGTCGAAGGGAGTCGTTTGAGTTGGAATACCGGTGGCCTAACAACAAGAAAAGTAGGAAACATACGAATACACAGCTCAAGGAGGAGATCTCAGTCATGAGCGAAGAAGGGAAGACTAGTGACTAGACTAGTTTAAATAGTGCTGAGAAGATCGGTGCATGAACATTTAGGGAGAGAAGAGCTCGTGGGAATGTGGGAGTGCTTACATGCCCGTGTGCGATTCGTGACACTTACTGTGTGGGTTTCTATTGGTTTTCTGTAGCACAACACCTTGACTACTTATTCTTCTGTGCCATTTTTTGTGAAGTTTGTTTCAGCTGATATTCTGGCAGAATTCTACAGATGGATGTTTGTCAACTGTGTTAAGACTCAAACGTATATATTTTAGGGAAACAAATGTATTGATTTAAAATGGCATTGGAAACATCCCCCACCTGTGCCTGAAAGACAAGGGAGGTCAAACAACCCATACCCCGGAGAGAGTTAATAATGAAAAGTAGATGATAAAAAATGAACACTGGTGAGGGGAGTGGCAGCCAGAACACTCCGGAACCAGA